GACCGGAAAGAGTCAATGTGCAGGTAAAAGACCATTTTTTTAGATTTCTCCAAAAGACTACTGAGTACATTTGAAAAAAATTAAAAATGCGTTATGGGGTTTATAAGTAATAGTAAAGCACATGATACCAAGAGCAAATCCCCAAAGTGAAAAATGGAGTTATATGTGACAACATTCTTACACTGTACGTGAATTTTCTTCAACTACATTCAACTTGATTAGATTTCCTTTGCCTCTTTTCCTTATCTGTAACTTTCTCTTATTTTCATTTGGTTTTTCCTTTTTTTCTTTCCAGTCAAATCTCTCTCCCCTTTGTGCATCTTGGATTTGGGTTTCCGAGATCATTTTTCTTTTACATTCAGTTTCTTTCCTGGGTCCCGTCAGTTTCCATTTCACATCCGCTTGGTCCTTTCTACTTAAAACTTCTCATTTGTTTTGTGATGTCCTCACAGCTGCATTTGCTTGTCTAATTATTTTAATTCCTGTTGGAATGCTGCATTACAATTTCCTTCTGGCTTTTTTCCCCGTGTTTTCTGCTCACAAGTTTCACTTTGAATTTTCTGGTTTTGTTTTTTTCTTGCAGTATCCCCATCAGGGTGCTGGTTTATTAATGTTCATATTTGGGCATGTTAGATTTACCTGAGCAACTATTAGCAGGAGCATATGGGTGAGGAACAGGGCAGGGAGAGGGGTCCAGTGGGTCTCCAAGTCTCTCAGGGGCGCCCCCTCCTGGAGCTGCAGCAAGGCAGATTCTCCAGTATTTGGCACCTTTGCGTGTCAAGCTTCCTCTGATCCTCTGTTGCTGTAGTAAGTCTCCAGGTGCCAGCCCCTTCCACGCTTCCCCCTATACCACCTCAGAGAGCCTGGGGGCCTCCCTCATCCCCAGAAGGGGCGCCTCTCCAGGACCCTCAGCTCTGGTCCTGCGCACTTTCCAAACCCCTCCTCTCTACTCCTTATCTGGGGATAGGCCTTTGTTATCTAGGTCCTGCTATTGCTAGGACTCCTCCATCTTGTGGGCAAGTTATCTGCTTCTTTATGGCTTAAAAGGTTCCCACCCATACCCAGATAACTTCCCAGCTTTAACCTTGACATCAGTGTCTGTAACAAATGACCACAAACATGGTACCTAACGCAACAGAAATTTATTCCCTCACAGTTCCAGATACCAAATCAAGGTGTCATCAGGCCATATTCCCTATGACGGCTCTAGGGGAGAATCCTTCCTGGCCTCTTCCAGCTTCTGGTGGCTCCTGGTGTTCCTGGCTTGTGGCTGCCTTCCTCCAGTCTCTGCCTCTCTCTTCACATGGCCTTCTTCCTGGTGTCATTTCTTTTATAAGGACATCAGTCACTGGCTTGAGGGCCCACCCTAAATCCAGGCTGATCTCATGTCCAGGTCCTTAATTCCATCTGCAAAGAGCCTATTTCCAAATAAGTAGTCACTGGGTTACGACATGGGCATGTCATTTTGGGGGGACACAATTCAACCCACTGTATCACCTTGAATTTCCCTGTAGCACAGACTCCTCTTGATCTCATGATGATTTTGGTCAGTGAAAATGTGTGCTACAGGAAACGCCTCCTGAGCCCCTGGAATAACGATTCCACAGGGCTCCCTGGGCCTAGGAAAGGAAAAGGAGCCCTGATGGGCAAGGGGCAGAAGGAAGAGTGCTTGGGTCTTGGTGGCTGCTCACAGACATAAGCAGAACAGGGAGAATAAAGGAGAGGACATCATGGAAAGAAGGGCACAGAAAGGGAAAGCAAGGAGCAGGTCGGTCTACCTGAGGCGTTCCCGGGCTTAGCAGCCCCTGCCCATCCCTAGGGCTCATCTCGGTCTGCCTCAGTGCCCACTGGTGGTTACCACTTTGGCCTTGATTTTTTTGGTATTCATTTCTGATCTCTATGATTTTCTATGACAGCTATGATGTTCTCTGTCAGGTTCAGCATTACAACTTCTTGTTTAGTTATTGTCTAACTTTGTAGCAGGTCGGGGGCAGGGGCTGTTCTAAATCAGAAGTCTGCTATGTCGGTGGAAATCCTTAGGTGATTTCATTCATTATCTCATTTAATCCTCCTACAGGGTAAAAGAAATGATCATTCCCATTTCCTAAATGAAGGAATAACTATCATGCTATTCTCCTTATTTCATACTATTTTTTATTTTTCCTAACAAATCCCTGTTTAATACAGAGTTAATGACATTTTTATTTGTAACCTAAAATTTTCGTTGGAAAAATGCTAGTTGCTATTAACAGATAAGGCCTAAGAGCTCTGCAGCTTAACACAGTGAGAGTTTACTTCCTCACAGGGGGAGGAATTTACAGAGCCTCTGTTCCAGGCAGTCACTTAGGGACCTGGTTTCCTCCACTTCGTGGCTCTGCACTCCTCATGAGCCTTAGATGGCGCCCCATTCAGCCAGTGATCGGGAAAGGAGGAAAGAGAAGTTTATAGAAGCCAGCCCTGGAAATGATGGGTGTCCTTCTGCCCATATTCCACCAACCAGAACTCAGACGGCCATGAGAACAACCGCACAGGAGGCTGGGAAATGTAGTGCAGCCATGGGCCCGGGAGGAAAGGAGAATGTACTTCGTACACAGCCAGGATCTCTGCCTACAGCTTTTGAATCCTCTGGCATCCTAGCATTTTCTAATTTTCTTGGAACGATTTAATGGCAAAGTTCTTATTATAATGATAGATGTCATTTTATTCACTTAGTCCCTTAGGTAGGCATAAAATGATCTTTGCGTATTATATTTATATGAACCTGGTTTCTCCATTTCTTGGGTTAGCCTCATCTGCACATCTTTGATCACTTACTGCACTCTTGCTTCACTTTCTTTTTACCTTTTGTTGGGTCCTTTGACAAAACTGCTTATTTCCAGAGATGCCACAAGGAGGCGGCGGCAGCGTAAGCAGGCAGCAGCCGGGGTACCCAGAGACGGAGGGCCCCCCCATCACTCTTTGTGGCCACGCAACCTTGAGAGCTGCCCTAACTCAAATCCAGAGCTGGGGGGTCCTAGAGACCCAGGACAGTCCCTTCCCCAGGCTATCTCCTCCTGCCACAAGAGCACAAGAGGCCTAAGCTGGTTTATAGGAGTCTGTTTCTTCACAGCCGCCCCTAGAACATTCAGCTGCAGTCATGCCCACCTCTCCAGGAAAAAACCACGGCGGGGTCGGAGGGGAACATCAGATGCCTCAGTATGGCTGAGAGGAAGTCCTCAGTGTGGACTCTTGATCTGTTCCTCTCAACAGAGTGGACTACCTCAAATATTCTCTGGTCACAGATCTAGTCGTCCATTAAAAATCCGCTGTGGATACTCCACAGTGAATGGAACACTTCCTGCTCTTGGGAACACTTTAGTTTACAGGAGACCATCCTGGGGGAGAGACAAAGCCCAAGACACGTGGTGAGTGCTCTGCAGGGGGTCTGTGCAAGGGAGGGAGGAGCAGCCTCCCTGAGGGAGAGCCACCATAACCCCTAAGGCGGCTGTGGAAGGTCACGGCAGGCTTAATGTGAGGGGCGAGAGATGACACTAGAGAGCCCAAGGCTCAGCCCCTCGGCCTGCCCAGCCCTGCGTCTCCTCTGTTCCAGTCTACGGAAACCCTGAGCAGGCCAGCTACGTAACTACGTCTGGGTTTACCTGCCCACCTGGGGCCTCCCCAGCAGGGCTCAGCCTCCGTGGCCGTGCTGAGCTCGCCACTGTCGCTCAGGCTGTTGAAACCACTGACTATGGGAGAGAGACCCCCAGGCCTACCGGCAGTTGGCGTCCTTCTTCCCAGGAACAGGGTATGAAAACCTCCCTCACCTTCTTGGCAACTACCCTTTCTTCACAGCTCATACCTATCACCATCTCCTCAGTCCTCGGGCTCTGGGAGGCCCTGGGTCGGCCCAAGTCTTCTTCTGTCTCCACCACCATGGCTGTCTGCTCCAGATCTTGAGTTCCTGAGCCCTGAGGGCTGCGGATCCAGGGGATCGCCCCTGGTAAGCTGCACGAGCCAACGGGTTCTGAGGTGGCCTCACGAGAGGGATGGGCTAGAGGCTCCCTGGGATTTAAGTGGATAGATTTGGTGACAGGACACTAGCGTCTCAGGGGCCTCTGGGCTCAATTACCAGAGATGTTGCAGAGTTAAAGTTCACACCGAGCAATCTCTATAAAAGTTCACAATGAGCTATCTCTACAAAAGAGAGGGGACATCTGTCCATTGAAGATGAAGCTGCAAGGGTACAGGGAATGTAAGTTTACGGCGGCTACAGGATCCACCTTTTCCAGACTCTCTTTCTTCTGAAAGCTTGAGAAAGTTAAGCAGCCAACAAACTTGTGGGCATAGAATGAAAAATCTGCAGGAAGGCCTCATACAGTACAAAAGTTTCCAGCATAGAAAGTATGAACAAAAATTAGGCTAAGGCCTCATTTCTGCCCATTGAGAAGTGGGCACAAAGCAGGTCCCTGATGGAGAAACTCTGTGCAGTTTGGTTCCCCTCTTTGGGCCCTTTTTACTTATTTTAAGAGGAAATAATAGGAGGAAAACATTTCCAGCTCCTGAGATCTCGTGGGTGACTACTTTTGTTATCTTTACTTTATACACATGTATAAAGCATGTATAAAGTACACTATACCTTTTCTTTATACACATGTGAAAGGCCTCCACCTACTGGGCATTCACACAATTTCTGAATAAAGTCAGAAAAATATCTACACCGACAATATAAATTTTGAAGGATTTTTTTAAAGGATTTTTTAAACGAAGAAATAAACTTTTTACGTTTTGTACATCCCCATCCTCCATTCCACCTTCATTTACTGCTGCGGGAAGCTGATGCCACAGCTTGTCCTTGGTTCAGCAAAGACCAGAAAGGCACTTAAAGTCTCTTCATTGCAGGAGCCCTCAAGTGAATGCAGTTCAAAAGGGTAATTTCCAGTGTGCCTTAACTGTTCTCCCCAGGAGAAATCCAGCCCAGCGCCGCCAGCAGGCTCAGGTCGCACCCAGCTAGCACAGCATCCGTCCCTCACACTGGCCACCGCGGTCCCAGGTCCCAGAGGGCGCCCCCTAGGCCTGCTCACCAGCACTGCCTCCACTGGCCCCCGAGCCTCTGCTGGGGGCCTGCGCGTCTGAGAAGCGTGAGGCCTGCTTGGGCAGGCGGATGGGGACGTAGATGTTGGATGCACAGTGCTCCTTGAGGTATTCCCCTCCCTTCTCTTCATACTCTTTCCTGGTGATCCAGACTTCGTCATCATCCAGGTGGTCCAAGGCCCAGTCCCGAGCACCATACCAGGCGTCCAGCACAGGGTTGGAAGCGAGCTGAACCTGAAACACAAAGAGCACTCAGTAGAGGGCCGTCTCCCCCTCAGGGATCGAGGAGTGAGCGTTCAGCAGACCCAGCCGCAGCCCCCTCCCTACGTGGTATCCCCAGAAATACACACGTGGGAGGGCCCTGGTGCATAACTGTCTGCACCCTCCAAATACAGCTGAGCTGAGATGCTGCAGACTCTCCAAGAGAGCACACAGAATGCAGAACACACCAGACTCGACCTCACAGAAGCAACGGTTGCGGGCTCTTTCATGAACACCCACCTGCCGCGATGGGCCAGAGAGGGCCCAGCTGCCCCCCTCCTGTTCCAACGCTATCGACCACAAGCTGCCAGGTGGAGAGAGGAAGCGGAGCGGGCACTCCACCTGGAGGAAAGGCCTTCCCATCCTGATGCCCACTCTGTGAGAGGCTTCTCAAGACGCAGGGGCTGATACAAGGTGGGTCTCGCTATGGTGACCAATGAGCCTCAGGAGCAGAGAGCACAGAGAAGGGGCTGGGGTGTTGTCCAGGACGTTGCCAGTGCTGTTTCCATTGCTTATTATCAGAGCAAGGCCGTGGTCAGCAGCCCCGGGGGAGCCCCTCAACTCAGCTGACCTGACCAGAGCAGGGAACATCCTCTGTAGCTCAAACCAGGCTTCCTGTTTCCCCGAGTCGCCACCTGCTTTCCCACCTCCCTCCTACCTCCCTCCCCCAACCACAGGAGCTCCAGGTTGGAGTGGTGGTTTCAGAACTTTCTGAACAGGCAGGCGACATAAAGGGGACTCAGCATGCAGAGATGGAAGAGGAAGAAACAGAGAAACACGAAAGTCAGGAGACTGACTGGGCTGATGTGGGAGGGACTTGTAAGAAGGGACTGTCAATAAATTAGGATAACAGGAGCCCTCAAGCTCTGGCTGGAGCCAGGCAGAATGAGTGTAGGGCAGTGGGATACTCCTGGCACAGACTAAATAGTTAATAAGTGGTAGCTAGCATCATTAGCACTGAAAAAGCAGTAAGATACATGGACTACAACCAAGGAACACTATACAGTCATAGAAGGAAGCCTTGGACATATATACCTACTGGCATAGAAAGACAATAATTGAAAAGTAAAAAAAACAAAACAGGTCACAAAACAAGCCATCAACAATCTCTTTTTTTTAGTTTATTAAAATCAAATGCAAGAGAAGAAAACGAATCAAAAGTATATATATAACTCACAGTGGCTGAACCACAAGTGTTTTGGTTTTTTTCTATCCTCATTTTGGCTTGTTTAAATTGTCTGAGATTTTAGTAATGTTTAAAATGTTTTGCCGGGGGTTTTTTTGAGCTTATATTGAGTTTATTCTTCATTTCACTTTTAAAACACTATCATAATTGAATATTAAAATGTTTTGCTATTTAAATAAGAAGCCAACAGAAACTTAAAGAAAGTACGTACACGTACACATCTCAGGGTCTTAAATCGTTCACATTTGACCACTGAATACATAACCTAAGTGCTGAGTACCAGGAGTTAATTCTGGCCTGACACACACTTAGCACATCCGCAGCTGAAAAGGAGAAGTGAAGGTGGGAGGGACGGAAGCTGAGGCTGTGCCCCATGAGGGCGAACCAGCTAAAAGAGAGCTGGGAAGAGCAGTCTGGCAGCATTTCTACAGCTAATATTCACAAAGTAATTCACGGGAAAGGCTTTTGCGATGATCAAGAAATAGATCTTAAACATCTGGTAATACGACGTGCTAGCTATGTCATTACAAGTGAAGCCCGCCAGCGCATACCTGTGCTCTCCTCCTGTACCGTCACCCCCACCCCACCCCCCACCCCCCGTCTAGTGCTCCTCCTGCCTCTCCCACCACCTCTTTCTCAGCCTCCTTCATGGGCACCCCCACCCTCCAAAGGCCCTTAAATGCTGACGTTATGTAAGGCCTAATGGACATCACCTATCCTCCACACAGTGCCCACTAGTAACACAGTTATGCTAGGGGATCCGAGTCCACCCTTCTGCCTTTCTCTGGAGCGCTCACCAGCTGGCTAGGAGTTACCGCTTCCTGGGCATCCCACTGGAAACCCAACTCAACCCACCCCAGAAGGGGAACTCATTCTCCACCCTCGAGCCTGCTCTTCCTCTCCCATTTCCCAGTCCAGGGAATGTCATATTTGTCCCACCAGTTGCCCAACCTAGGACTTGGGAATTGTCTTGGGTCCCACACTTCTCTCCCTATATCCAACCTGTTACTCAGTTCTCACAACTTCACTCCCTTAATCTCTGCCACATGAGCTCCCTCCTGTCCTCTCCCAATGCCTACTGCTTATATCCTGCATAGCTACCCAGAGATATTGAGCCAAGACCTGGGGAACAACAATTCACAAGGCAGTCCATCCTTCCCTAATAGAGGTTGGCCCAGTAAGGAATACCAGTTAAGGACAGGGAAGGCTTCTGGCACATGTGACATCCAAGCCAGCCGTGACAGACATGAATATCGAGCTGGGAAGGGTATTCCAAAAGGAGCCAGCAGGTGCAAACACCCTGAGGCGAGAAAACATGGCATACTGGGGAACAAAGTACAAGGTGGAAGGGGGAGTGATGAGAGGTGATGCTGGAGTAATTCAAGGTCAGATCACAGGAGATACGGCAAACTGGTAGGAGGACTCAATCCTAAAGCCTCTGAGCTGCCTCCTAACTGGCCTCCTGCTTCCGGTATCTCTCCTGATACCCCATTTTCCACAACAGTCAAAAATAGCTTCCTAATATTCAAACTGAATGAAAGGATTCCCCTGCTTAGACTCCCTCACAGTCCGGTGGGCCTAACAGTAACAAGAGCTGTGCAGAAGAGAGTTAACCCACAGGCCTGACTGCTTACAAGGCTGTCCTTGGCTGGCACCCGCGAACTTGGACTTCTGGCGGGCCTTCACCACTGACTGGTGAGAGTAGTCACTGTTCCTGACGTTTGAACAAATAATGTAGTTTATGCTGAACACCTGCTTCCTTCTGGGAGTCTGGAATTTGGGTAAGTGCCAGGCAGGGGGTGCCTACATGATCGGCTCCCAATAAAAACCCTGGGCACTGAGTCTCCAACGAGCTTCCCTGGTTAGTGACATTTCATGTGTTGTCACAGCTCACCGCTGGGAGAATTAAACGTGTCCTGTGTGACTCTACTGGGTGAGGACTCTGGGAGCTCATACCTGCTTTCCCCTGGACGTCACCCCATGCACCTCTTCTCTGTACTGATTTTGCTTTGTTTCCTTTCAAATCGTAGCCATGATGATGATTATATGCGAGTATGATATGTGATTATATCATATATATGTATGATTCCTGGGAGTCCTCCTAGCAAATCATGGAACCTGGGGTGGTCCTAGGGACCCCTCCCCCCATACAACAGCTAATGTCTAAGTGTTCATTTTGTGCAGGCCCTATGCTGAGCACTTCATTGTACTAGTGAATCCTGGTAACAGGAGTTCTGATTACCCATTTGTACCACTGACAAAACGAAGGCTTGGCAAGATTCAGTAACGGTGGTGACAGAATAAGGACCAGAGCCCAGAGACCATGCCTTGAGTGTGTAATACATCATGCAGCACAGGGGACCAAGGTCAGCCTCTCAGCAGGATGTGCAGGGCCTACTGACCTCTCTACTGCAACCCCCTCCACTCCTCTATAGCGACCCCATGCTCCAGCCACACTCAACTGCAGCTCACTCCCTCAGCAGGCTTCTGAACTCTGAGCCTTTGCTCATGCTAATCCCTCTCTGGAATGCTCCCTCCATCCCACCCCACTCCACAATGCCTAGATGGCACACACAACCTCATCTTAGGAAGACTCACTTCCACGAAGCCCTTCCTAAATTCCAAGACGGACAGGTGCCCATACCTGGACGTCCATCACATTCTGGGCTGTCACAGCCTATTTAATCAGCTGCTGCCCCTCAGGTAGCAAGTTCTTTGCAGCTAGGGGTTGTGTCTAGGACATCTCGGCATCTGCGAGGTGCCTGGTCCTTAATAGGGGCTGAGACCATGTTTCTTAGAGATCAAAAGGATTCAGTAGATACACTATGGGGCATCCACACCATACGGAAGAAAAAAAAGTATTTTGGAAGAATGACATGGGAAGAAATGCAGGTTACAAGGCAGGTTACACTCATGTACAGAGAAGCTGTGCAAGTGAAGCTTTGCCCTTAGAATGAGGGGCGGGTAAAGAGAATGACAACTCTCAGTGTGTACTCCTTGTATGCCCTGAATTTTATTATTCATGTCTTTTTCCAGTTTAAAAAAAAAAAACCCAGAGAAATACATAAAACATGATTTCCATTCTGCTTCAAAAATTCAACACATATCAAAGACCAGAAGAAAAGCCCCAAAAATGTTAACAGTAGATATTTCTGGATGATGGAACTAGAAAGTAATTGCCCTCCTCTATGCCGTATTTATGACTTTTGCAATCAGAAACCGAATACTTAATGATCTTACACAACAGAGCTGGTTACGCGAATAAGCAGTACCTTAAAAGCAGACTGGAAGGGCCTCATCTCCAACAGCTCCTTCTCGATTCTACCTTTCATCCCAGGGTACATCATGTTTCCACCGGTGAGGAAAACATTCTGAACTAGCAGGTCCTGAACGTCCTTTGAGTACCTAGGAGAGAGAAGGTTCCTTTTGGCATAGTCCTACCAACGTAGGATCAAAGGAGAATGCTGATGTAGAAATGTAAGGTCTTGGCACAAAACAGAAAACATCTGCACAAAGAGTGTTTTTAAGAAAACGTCCAGGGACACCTGGGTGGCTCAGTCGGTTAAGTGTCCAACTCTTGATTTCAACTCAGGTCACGATCTCAGGGTTGTGAGACCGAGCCCCACGCTGGGCTCCATGAGATTCTCTCTCCCTCTCCCTCTGCCCCTCCCTACCCTCTAAAATAAATTAAAAGAAAAAAAAAAACTTCCATTTCTCACTTATGACTTTACAGAATTCATTTCCTTAGTAAGATTAGAAGTTTTGTGTCTTTTAACACACCTATTTGAAAAACTGACTTTATGGAGGACTGATTTCCAAACATTTTGATGAAGTCTGACAAATGTATACCCCCCAGTAACCATCACCACAATCAAGAAACAGAACATTTTCCATCACCCCAAAAAGTCCTGCCTCCCTTCTGCTGGCCCACCTTTCCACCTGCGTTTTTTTTTTTTTCCTTTTTTCTTTTTTTCTTAAATAACAGCTTTATCTTACACATGTTTGAGCACTTTCCCATTAAGTCAAAGCTCAAAGCCACTCATACACAGTGGCTGCAGTAGCTTTTCTTCCTTGCTAGGTGCCAGTTTTCATCCTGTTTCAACCAACAGCAGCCAGAAAACTACAGATCATGCTCTCCACTTGTCCGGCTTGAATTAGGACAATTCACACTGCAGGAAAATGCCTGTATAAATGGGATGGGGGAGGAGCATTTTATGGAAGTGCAAACTCTTAAATAAAATGTCTGCAAGGAGGAAAAAAAACTTTTATAAGCTCTGCACATTTTTAGGGTACTTAAAAATCACCAGTCTTCAATAATGTCAAGGTTTATATGAAAGCCAATGCACATATATTGTTACGCTGCTTAAACGTCAAAGAATTTCTTAAAGCTCGTCAAATCAACGGAGCATTTACATTTTTAAAAAAGAATTACAAAGCCTCTGTGATGTGCCGGGGTTGGGGAGAGATAAAGAATACTATCTGAGCACAGCAAGTCAATAAAAAGGAGGGCATGAGGCAGATTTTCAAATGCCTGACCATCTCATCTACTACTCAGTGAGAAATCTGAGGAAATGGTTCTGGAAAAATCAAAGGAAAAGAAGGTTCAGTCTCACCTGGCCAGGATGTACTGAAGGGTCTCTGCTATTCCAGCCTGCTCCTCCCCTATGAGGGATGGCTGGAAGATAATTTCCGGAGCTCGAATTCTTTCTGTCCCGACAAACAGCTGATGATAGGCTGCCAAGTTAAACACGGGCTTTAAAAACCCAAGGTTTAGAAGATATTTTTAGGCCAGAGTGACAAACGTTCCAGTTGCCAGTTCCCTCAAACTGTATTTCTTATGCCAACATAGCTTCTGTCTTTCGTTCCTGCCAGAATAACCTCTCCCCAGCTCTCCTGATAGGATAATTCCATTCCCTGCCTTTCTCCCACCTCTGTATTACAAATACCTTCAACTTTGCATCACAAAATGGTCCCCGCGTTGCAGGGAAAGAGCTCATGAAGAGAGGTAGCAGGAAGGCCTGGCACTGTCCAACCAAGCCTCCTACCAGCACCCTGCTCAGCAGCCCAGGGCCTGCGTGGCCGGGAAAGCGCTCTCCCAGGTGAGCCCCAGACTCAGGTCAGTCTGTCTGGTGGCCATTTGCCCTGACAGATACATAGGCCCAAATGAGGATTAAGCACAATTACACTGGCTTAAATTTAAATGAAACCACTAAAGCTAGGCTTCAGGTCTTAAGTCCTCAATTAGTTGCCTAAACATTTCTACCAAGGCAGACTGTTTCCCACAGGTTCACAATCTTAGTGCTGGAACCCCAATCAATCAGTAGGAAAAGCCCTGACTTCAGATGTTTTAGTGTTAGTACCCTAGCTCCCCACCTTTCTAGAAAATACAACTGGAATTTTTTTTTCTTTTTGCAAAAATATTCCTAAAGAAGCAAACTAGGGCAGACTGGTCTCTTATGTCAAAGGTTTCAAAGCAGAAGCATGGTGCAGGCTACAGGGACCCAACCTGGACAGTGGTGACTGGCTTCTCCACTTCAGGGGTTTCCTCTGAAAACAAGGGTTCAAAATCATTGATGCTTTCTACATCTTCCAGAGACGGCTCTAGCTGCTCCAGGTCAGGGGTCTAAGAACAGAAGAAACAGAACAAAACAGCACCTGTAACTTCAGGAGGCCTTCACTCTAACAGTTCACAGTCACGAACAAGAATTGGTGTTTTGCTCAATGTCCTAGAAGTTTATATAAAAACTATGAAAAATTTTCTAAACTATTAAAAAGAAGACGACACATGAACACAAGGATTAAAAGCCTAAAAAGCCAGGCACAGGCTTTGCTCCTGTCCCTTCCCTCACACAAACCTCAACAACTCCCATCTCCTCTCTGAAGCCCTCTGGCGGGCACGGAGTGGCAGTGGGGTGGGGGGGGTCATGCTGTCTGCATTAGGCACGAGACCACACATGCAACTCTGCGGGAGAGAGAGCAAGAGTTGTATCCTACTGAGTGGCCCAGACACCAGCAAAATTAAATAAATCTCTTAACGATTAATAAATCCAAGTGCCAACACTAATGGGCTTTAATAAGTAGTCCCTTATCGGCTGGTCCACTGGGCTGGAGACGTGACTAAGAGCTCCTGAGGCGGCAGAGAGCTTCAGGACTGTGATGCCCCGCAGAACGGGCTTTCCTCTTCAGCCACAGCGAACCTGGGAGAGCCTACACACACTAGCACCACTCCCAGTAGAGGGCTTAGGGTATATGTAATTTTGACCCGGACAAAAGAATTTGGCCAGGGGGTGGTGTGGTTCTAGGTGACATTCTAGCCATCTGTCGTTCTGCCATGTGAAAGGCAGAGGAGTTTAACCTTTTGGACTCAAGGGGAAGAAGTTACAGGAAGAAATTCTATGCAAGACCACTCTAACAATGCCAGCTGCCGGAGAAAGGACTGTCTTATGAGAAGCCGTCTTGGGAGGACACAGCTGACTCAGTACTATCCACCTGGCATGCCCGAGGGGAGGTCCCAGCGTGCAGTATGTATCCTCCGAGTCTGGCCTTACCCTTGGAGTCTGTGACATATATAAACTACCAAAGCACTTAAATACAATCTCTAGAACACAGCCACATATACTGCCAATGTAAATTAGCATTCAAACTTCCTCCTTTTTTTTAAAGGTGTTTTTATTTTTATTTTTAGAGAGAGAGAGACTGCACACGAGTCAGGAGAGGCAGAGGGAGGGAGAGAGAGAGAGAGAGAGAGAGAGAGAAAGAATCCCAAGCAAGCTCCATGCTCAGTGTGGAGCCCGATGCAGGGCTCAATCTCAGGACCCTGAGATCATGACCTGAGCTGAAAGAGAGTCGGATGCTCAACCGACTGAGCCACCCAGGCACTCAAACTCACTCTTAAACAAGGCAGTGCCCTTCAACACTCCTCTGGCACACACACACCAGAACAGTTACATGCATATATGGCTTATAGAATGGGGGACAACGTATCCTAAATTCTGTTCAATATAGAGGATTCTACCTCTACACAAATTATAAATTTAAGGAAAGAGTAAACCCTGGAAAGGACGGGGAACACTTCTTCCTCTGAGACTAGAGAACAGGAAGAGAGGGACTGGTCTGGAAATAGGTAATTTAAGGAGGAAAGAGGTTGGGCTGGGAGGTAAGAATCCAAGGATCTTGCTCTCAGGGAAGGAGGTGAGAGCCATCAGAATACTGAACCCAATTCAGGAGCAGGCAACCCGCTCCTCCACAATCCTCCCTGCAGAGATGACTCCTGAGCTTCACGGGGGAGGAAATGGGCTCAACGGGGGACCAAGACTTGCCCGAGATCACATCACACTAGTAAGTGGTAGAAACCTGGCCCAAGACAGATGGCTTAGCTCCAAAGTCTTTGCGCTGCCTCAAGCTGAAATTCTATACATCATGAGTCTGAGTGCGGCAGGACAACTGGGCTCTGCAAGTACGGAAAAGAGCTCCCTGAGGTCAAGGTGAACAAGAAGAGAACAAAAGATCTACAAGAGGCAGCAAGGCCAGCTGAATGAAGTGACAGGCTTCTCTGCCCCGGCAGGGGCCGCAGAGCTCATGAGAAGGAATGCTCCCCTGGAGGTGTGAGGTTTCTAATCTGGAAGACTCTCATCTCCCAGAAAGAAGCCCCAACCCCGGGAATGCCTGTGCCTGTTCTGGCTTGGCACTAAACTCTGGGGTCCCAAGAGAGCATCAGAAACAGATCGCGAAAATTCTCTCATTTGGTGGTTTGTCATCCAGGACGACAAGCAACCAGGAGCAGTGTGGTGTTACAGAAAGAGGCAAGGCTTAAGGGTCACATCGGTCCAGCTCTGAATGGCACAGTCTGAGCCCACTTCCTCCTCTGTAAGTAGGGCGCACCCCTAGGGCAGTGGTGGGGTGAGAACTGAACACTTCTTCCTTCTAACTAGGCATTCATTTTGGCCCCTTAGATAACTGTTACAATACCAGGCTGGTGGCACACAAATGTCACCTGTGTATTTAAAATAACTACAGGCCAGGGTGCCTGGGTGGCTCAGTCGTTAAGCATCTGCCTTCGGCTCAGGTCATGATCCCAGGGTCCTGGGATCGAGTCCCACATCGGGCTCCCTGCTCCGCGGGAAGCCTGCTTCTCCCTCTCCCACACCCCCTGCTTGTGTTCCTGCTCTCGCTATCTCTCTCTGTCAAATAAATAAAATCTTAAAAAAATAAATAAAATAAAATAAAATAATAACTACAGGCCAAACTTGTGGGTCCTTCCCCCAAATAATGAGTAAAGGCAAGCCTTGGGCTCCGTGGAGTTCTCTCCTACCTTCTGCTCTACTCCGCACACCTCCCTCTTCCTCATCTTCATCCCAACCTCCACTCCTCTAACCTCTCTGACCCCACAGTGACGACCCCCCTTGTGCATTCCCACCTTCCTCTACCCGCCCTGGAGCCCAGTCGCAACTGCCACCCTCCAGCCCAACTCTACCTGCTCTACCAACAACCACTGTCAAATCCTAAAGGGTGCCACCCAATGCTCTTTCCACTTCTGCTCTAGGGTAGATTGTATTTTTCAAAAACAGTCACAACGGTATCTTCCATCCAACATGCTCTTCCTCAAGGGGCTTCTGAGGTGTGGTTTATTTCCTCCCCTTGAATCTTAGCAGGGACCTGTGGGACTCCAACCAATAGAGTACGGGGCAAGTGGTGTCATGTGACTTCCAATGTGAGGTCATACAAGGCCACACAGTTCCCTTTACCTTGACCTCTTGAAACACTAGCTCTCTGGCTACTCTCCCTTGGGAAGCTCCCTCCTGGAAGCCAGTTGCCAAGCTGAGAAGCCCAAGGCACATGGACAGGCCACGTGTGGGTGCTCAGGTCCACCATCTTGCTAAGCATGGCCTTTGAGTCATCCCGGCTCAGATGTTAGCAAAGTGAAAAACCACCCAGGGCTCCCAGTCCCCAGATGTCCAAGTCTTCCCAGCGGAGGCCCCAGGCATCACAGAGCAGAGATCCCTGCTACGCTCTGCCTGAATTCCTGACCCGTCAAATTTGTAAGCACAACACAATGATCATCGTTTTATGCTACTAAGTTTGGAGTGCTTTTCCACATGGCAAGAGGTAAGTGAAAATTTCCTCCTCGTGGGCGTGGGCAAGAGTGGAGAAAGAAAGCGCCAGGCTGCCACTGGTGGGCCTGTGGTCCTCTTCAGCTCCCCTGTGCATTGCCCAGAGCAGGCGTCTGCAACCCCTCCCAGCACTTCTCTTCAGCCCCCTTTCTAGTCACCGCTGGCAGTTCTCAGCAGCTCGCCTCAGGTGTTTCCATTTCTCCTGCACCCCACCTCTTCACCCGTCCTCCCGCGCTCCCGTGCCATCACCCATCCGAGGCTGAGCCCGCCACCCCTGCTGCTCTCTCACCTCTGCTCCTCCTCGGCCTCTCCCCCCGGCTTTTCCTCAGCTCCTGGACCCCTAAGCAGAGGCCTTCCCCAGGCATCCTTCTTTTCCCACTCCCCATGCGATTCTAGCTCCTTCCACAGCTGGGTCCTGGCAAATTCCATCTGAAGTCCCACAGAAACTTCGAAGATAAGGTGCTCAAACCAAAGGTACTACCTCCAGCCGCAGCCTTTCAGGAGCACCTCCGGGGACCTCAGTGGGACCAGAGTGAATCCGCAATCAGATCACTTGGGTCTGATCCTCAGCTGTACTACCTCTAGCTGGGCAACCCTGGGCAAATTCCTTCACTCTCCTAAACCTCAATTTCCTTATTTGTCCAATGGAAATATGACAATACTCAAAGAATCAAGATGACACTTACAGAAATGCTCAGTACAGGGTCTGGCACATGTCACACGTTCTATTATCAGCCACCGCCACTGCTGTCACCACTGCTCCTAAGTGGCACCCAAATCCTTGGAGCTACCTCTGAAGCGTCTCCTCCACCCCCCATTGCCATGGCTACTCTCCCACCCCCTCCACCAGCTCTCCACCGGACTGCGCAACACATTTATATCCTGCCTTCCCACTTCCAGCCTCACCTCTCCCTAAACCCATCATCCTAACTGCCACCAGTTCTTTTCCTAACAGCAAGTCTCCTTGGATTATTTCCTTGCTGGACATCCTTTGAAGACTCTGTCTAAAGATAATATCCAGGCTGACTGACAAAGACCTTTATAGGCCGGCCCCAGCCTCCCTCCCCTGCTCTATCTCCCGCACTCCACACCCAACCTACAGTGCTCCCTGCATGCGTGCTGCTTTGCATCTAAACGTCTCAATCCATAATGTCCTTGCCTCCTCACTTGATACCTACTGAAATCATATCACCTTTCAGGGCCCAGCTCACATATCCAATCTTTTCTCAAAACTTCATCTAAATTCCCACACACATCTACCATCACACTAGATAAGCTTCATTAGTCAGCTAAGTATGATCCAATAGCCTTATTTTTTTAGGCACCAAGGAGTGCAAGAAAAGTACCTTAATTGCATCATTAGTCCCTACCATACCATACCTACCACTGAGTAGTAAGCCCTGGGATACATCCTCCAATTTCCCTGGAAAAGAGGACTGTAAAATGTTCGAGTTTCAATAGGCTTCCTCAGCTACAGCAAAAACATCATCATCCACCTTCACCTAGCTGTACTCAGAAGCATGTCACCTGAAAGGTAACTTCTAAACTTCACTATAAATGATAAAAAGATACTTTACTTAACCTAATTCGTATGATTCACAGAGAAACAAAGCTAATAATTTCAAAGCAGACAATGGGCTATAGAGATCCTATAGAGAACAGATTCCTCTACCATGGCTGGCTTCTCTCTCTCTACGGTTTGCCAGAGCCTCCACATGCATTGTGTGGCGTTCAGGAACACAAATAGGCATTCTTTTGGAACCAAACAGAATGATAGTTTGCCAAAGCACATCAGAGAAGATGGAGCATGGTTCCCTGGAACAATCTTGACTAAGCAGCATAAGAACAAGCAGAGGACAGGAGCACCTGGGTGGCTCAGTCGTTAAGCATCTGCCTTTGGCTCAGGTCATGATCCCAGGGTCCTGGGACCGAGCCCCACATCGGGCTCCCTGCTCAGCGGGGAGTCTGCCTTGCTTCTCCTGCTTCTCTCTCTGCCACTTCCTTGCTCATTCTCTCTCTCAAATAAACAAATAAAATCTTAAAAAAAAAAAAAAGAACAAGCAGAGGCCAGCTCTGATCTTGGCTAATCAGGCAAGAGAACTTTCCGTATTAAGCTCATTGTGTTCTCCAACAAGTAATGGTGCTCTAAAACTGTGTCCCCCACCACCACCACTGCTGTGCTTACAGTGACGGAAGGCCAACATCCTCTAGTCTAAATACTTCCTTAGGAATGTTGACAAAACCTACTCCTTTACAACATCTTCATCACAATATTTGCAGAATAGCAAGGGCTGGAATGGCCTGGTCTGTGGGGAAAAAAAAATGGACTTTAGGAAATACCGTAAGTTAAAAATTTTGCTGGATTAATCCAATTTAGCCATTACTGCATTTCAATACGAACTTTGATCCACATAAACCCATTTCCTCCATTCTAAATGAACTACATAGTTGGAAAACACACTATAAATATTTTTTGAAAGGTAGAACTAGCCGGCCAGTGTTGTGGTCACATTTATCCCATGAAAGTTACTGCAACCAACCCTAATCACTAACAATCACCCTCAATAAATGCTGACACCCTCAATGCTTTCGGGACAGATCAACTCATCACTGCATATAGAGAAACTACTGGAAGTCCAACATTTCAAAATCTCCCCAAGCCCAGAGAGAATACGTATCCCCAGAGCACAGAACGAAGTAGGGACTTAATAAGTACCTGCTAAATGTATGGAGTGGCTGAATCACAGCCTGTAACAAATACAGAAAAATGAACAAAGGGAAGGAAAAATTAGCTCCTCAACTGCTCAGGAATCACATTTTACAGTCATTTGGGCTTTTCTTTTTAAATCTGAAATCCCTCGCCTGCCCGTGGCTTAGCGGCACATCTTTGGTATAAAGATGCTGATGTCCTAATGGCGCATTAAGCACGATGAAAACTGAACACAGGTGAATAAAGGCAACATGGGTCTGGATCCCAGTAAACAGCGGAGATCCGATGCACAGCCAGGAAACTGGGAGAGGTGAGCAAGGAAAGGCACACCGGCTCTGCGAGGCTGACCTGGGACACCACACCAGAGTAAGACAGCAGTCAAGGCCCCTCGCCCCCACCTCAGCCATCCCGGAAGCCACGTGCAGGAAGCCTGACTTGGGGTCTGCTCTGACACGCATGCCCTGGCCAGTTGCTGGCCTCTGGGAGTCTCAGCTGCGGGAGAGCTGGAGATGGAGGCTGAGCACAGCAAGCATGTGAGTGAGCCTCTAGCTGAGAGCCAGAGCAAGAACAGGCCTCCTGCCAAGCCAAAGACGCATCTCAAGTCAGTGGCAAGCAGCCACACCACGCCCAGCACCAAACTGGATTTTTCCATGGGACTGTTTCTTTCTAAAAGTATAGGTTTTAAATGAATCATGGAACACTGCATCAAAAACTAATGATGTAACTTATGGTGACTAACATAATAAAATTAAAAAAAAAAAAAAGAACCCATCTCCTCAAAACAGTGAGGATGAACATGTATCTTTCACTATTAAAGGCATAGCCACCTACAGAAAAAATAAATAACTAAATAAATAAATAAAAATAAACGTATAGGTTTTAGAATTTAAAGAAAGTTGATTGAAAAACAAAAAGCCACCACACTAGATTGGTTAATCCTGGCCTAGAAGTGTCACAAGGCAATAAACAAGTCCTTTGTCTTAGAACTCCAGAGCAGACAGATTCGGGAACAATGCACACACTTTTATTAACACTTTCTTCCAGTTCTAAAGCCAGGCGAGCCAACTCATGAGTACAGGTGTGCAGCGCCCAGTGTGAGGGTGTCCATCACCAGGGCCCTAACTCAGCCCTGCCACTTGCCTTTACGCCACATCAACACTTACAAACAGTCCACTGGTGTGGAAACAAAAAGGAGAGACAGAGAACACCAAAGAGCTTATTGAATTAGTTTTAGTCATAAAAGGCTGATCTTAAATCAACCCATGGATATTTTATTAAGCACGTCTGCTAGTTGCTGTAAAAAAATCCATCAACTATCCTGAAGCATGATCCCTGTCCTTAGGGGACATGAAGATGGAAAGGAAGTGAAACATCAACCACAATATATTAAAAAAATAGCAGACAAAAGTAGAAAGGAGTGTGTGACTAACTGCAAATAACCATTGAAAGAGAATGTTCAGATTCCAAGATGGCACCACACGGCAGGTGCGTAAATGTTCTACTCTACACGCACAGTTCCCCGTCCCAGGGGGGCCAGAGGTCTACAGGGTAAAAGCCATCAGGTCAGCACGAAGTCAGTGCCATCTCTGCCCTGCCCCTGTCCGCGTGGACAGCACTCACCACACTGCCTTCCCAAGTGTGGTCACATCTCTGATGTCAGCCTTCTCCAGACACTCCTCCCACCCACAGACTAAATGACCGTACAGGACCCTCCTCCCAAGGTCCTTGGTACCTCTGGCTTGCTGTCCACCACATCCACCTCGAGGGTGACTTCTGCTTGGAGGATTTTCTGCTTTGCCTGCTCCACCGCCGAGCTGAGCTTCTGGATGTAGGACTGCAGCTCTTCCGGGGAGTCCATGTTCAGTTCCACCAGAGCTTTGTGAAACTGATCCATCTGGCCATCCTCTAGAAGTTCCTGAAACCCAAGCAGTCGCAATTCATCTTCAAAGATGACAGTGCAATCATACACAGGAAAGAAAGAGAAGTAGCTTGGAAGCCAAACAGAAAAACTACAGCAGGAGGGGGCTCCCGGAACTCCCCTAGCCCGCCCCTCCACAAAATCTCACCTCCCACTCATGGTTCACACGCCACCCTCCTCCCCAGCTGTCTCTAGGCTAAATCGTATCCCGGTCTCAGCACCACCTGAGTAGGCAAAACTAATCTATGGTGCCAGGTGTCAGAAACGTCGTCACCTTTTGAGTGGGGAAGACGGGGGAAGGTTACTGGCTAAGAGGGGACACGCGGGAGATTTCCGAGATGCTGGGAGCGCTCTGGATGGCAGATACATGGGGTGTTACGTGTTGTGAAAATCCATCGAGCTACACACTTGAGATCTGTGCACCTTGTAGCACGTGTGCTACACTTCAATTAAAAAGTTATAAAACAAAGGAGATGATAAGGCCAAAGTGAATGAGGGAAGCCAAAGTCCACAGCTCTGTCAGAGACACCTGATGCTCTGTGCACGGTACAGGTCCTCTGTGCTGAGGAGCTCCACACTGAGCACCCTCAACTCCTTCTTGAGCCCAAGGGGGACTCAGACAGGCACTGCATTTCCTGGCCGAGGAAGATGTAGGAAGAAATCTTTCTGGGACTGCCTTGCACAAAGGCCGGAGCCCCCTGCCAGGATGCGCACGTACCTGCACGTAGAGCAGTCTGTCCAGACGCTCCTGGTCCAGCTGCAGCTTCTCCTCCCGCCGGCGGGCGTTGAGCTCCTGCAGGCGCCGCAGCTGCTGCTGCCGCCGTTCCTGCTTCTCCTCCGAGCCCAGCGTGCTGCCGAGGAGCTTGCTGGAAAACGGGAGCTGCATCTTGTGGACGTTGTTTTCGTAATAATCAGGGCACCGCCATTTCTGCAGTTCTTCAGAGAAATAATTTTGGAAGTTATGAAATGGAAAACACTATTAGCACAGAAAATTAGAAAGTCAATACCAGGGTTCCAGATCCAGGTAAGATGGAGAAAGCACGATCCACCCAATCTCTGACTCCACCCAGTCGACAAAATGCAGCTGTACCACCTGGACATAACGCCCACAGATCTGGTCTCAAAGCACTGCTAAGTAAAGTTCGCCTGACAGACATGATAGCAGAAGGAAACTCGGAATATCAGGAAAGAAGGAAGAGCAAAAGAAAAGATGAAAATCTCATTCAATGTGATAGACTAACCTCCTGAGTTCTTTAAAATATGTTTGACAATTCCAAGTAAAACCATCACAATGTCTGTTGGGTTTCCAACATATGTACATATGGTACATAAGACAACCCAGCATAAAGGAGAAAGGATGAAGGAGCCTCTGGGGTGCTAACATTGCCACATTCCACATGAAGTAGTAAAAGATTCTAAAAACAGTGCGAAAAATCTATTGATTATAACCTCAGGGAAACCACTAAAAAAACTACACAGAAAGATACAGTAAAAACACAATAAATTAAAATACCAATACTGAAACAAATTTTTTAAATATTCAAATAACCCAAAAGAAGGTAGGAGAAACAGGAACAAAGAGAATAACGGACAACAAATAATAAAATGGTAGAACTAAATCCAACATGTGAATAATTAATTTTAAACGGTCTTACCAGACTAGTTAAAAGACAGAGGCTGACACAGTGCATAAAAAATAAATAAATAAACAACTATTAAGAAACTCACTTTGAATATAATGATATAAGTAGATTAAAAGGATGGAAAAACTATTCCATGCAAGCACTCAGCAAAAGAAAATAGGAGTGGCTGTATTAACGTCCAAGTAGACATCAAAGCCAAGAAAATTACAGGGGATAAAAAGAGATACTGTATAAAGATAAAAAGTCAACTCGTCAAGACAACCTAAGAATTCTAGGTTATCTAACAAAAGTGCTTTAGATACTTTAAAGCAAAAACCGACAGATATGAAAGGAGGAATAAAAAATTTACCATTATCCCTTAAGATTTCAAAACTCTTAATAATCAACAGAGCTAGAGCATGGAAAAGGAACAGGGACATAGAAGAACTGACCACCACCATCAACCAGTGAGCCTAAACAACACAAAGAATACTCCACCCAACAGCAGAGTCCATGTTCTTTTCAAGTATAAATGGAACATACGCCAAAGCAGATCATGCCCGGGTCATGAAACAAACCTTCACAAGCTCCAATGATACCACACACAGTTTTCTGACATAATGAAATTAAACTAGAAATAAGTCATAGAAATACAATAGAAGTATCTCCAAGTACTTGGCTATAAAAAAACACCTTTCTAGGGGTGCCTGGGTGGCTCAGTCGGTTGAGCCTTTGGCTCAAGTCATGATCCCGGGGACGATCCTGGGATCGAGCCCCACGTGGGGCTCCCTGCTTGGCTGGGAGCCTGCTTCTCCCTCTCCCTTTTTTTTTTTTTTTTTAAGATTTTATTTATTTATTTGACAGAGAGAGAGTGTGAGAGAGGGAACACAAGCAGGGGGAGTGGGAGAGGGAGAAGCAGGCTTCCCGCTGAGCAGGGAGCCCGATGTGGGGCTCAATCCCAGGACCCTGGGATCATGACCTGAGCCAAAGGCAGACGCTTAACCGACTGAGCCACCCAGGCGCCCCTCTCCCTCTCCTTCTGCCTCTCCCCCGACTTGTGCGTGCTCTTTCTCTCTCTCAAATAAATGGATGAAATCTTTAAAAAAATAAAACACCTTTTTTTTAACTTTCAGCTTTCTACATCAACTATTCATTAAAATATAAAGTTAGATTTAACCCTTAAAACCTGAAGGTTTTATTTTTTAATTAAGTTTTTATTTTAATTCCAGTAAACATATAGCGTTAGTTTCAGGCATACATTATAGCAATTCAACAATTCCATACATCATCCAGTGCTCATCACAAGTGTGCTCCTTAATCCCCATCACCTATTTCACCCATCCCCCCACCTTCCTGCCCTCTGGTAACCATCCATTTGTTCTTGATGGTTAAGAGTCTGTTTCTTGGTTTGCCTCGCTCTCTTTTTTTTTTCCCTTTTTTCATTTGTTTTGTTTCTTAAATTCTACATGAGTGAAATCATATGATTTGTCTTTCTCTGACTTATTTCCCCTGGCATAATACTCTAGCTCAATGCATGTCATTGCAGATGACAAGATTTCATTCATTTTTATGGCTGATAACACTCCTTTGTGTGTGTGTGTGTGTGTGTGTGTATATATATATATATATATATATATATATATATACACACCACATCTTCTTTACCCATTCATCTATCAATGGACACTTGGGCTGCTTCCATAATTCAGCTATTGTGAATAATGCTGCTATAACATAGGGTACATATATCCCTTTGAATTAGTGTTTTTGTATTCTTGGGGTAAATATCTAGTAGTGTGATTACTGAATCATTGGCGGTTCTATTTTAAACTTTTTTTTTTTTTTAAGATTTTATTTATTTATTTGACACAGAGAGACACAGTGAGAGAGGAAGAAGCAGACCTCCCTCAGAGCAGGGAGCCTGATGCGGGGCTCGATACCAGGACCCTGGGACCATGAATTGAGCTGAAGGCAGACACTCAACAACTGAGCCACCCAGATGCCCCTATTTTTAACTTTTTAAGGAACCTCCATACTGTTTTCCAGAGTGGTTGCACCAGTTTGCATTCCCACCAACAGTATAAGAGGGTTCCTTTTTCTCTACAACCTGGCCAACACCTGTTTCCTATGTTTTTGATTTTAGCCATTCTGAGAGGGGTGAGATGGTATCTCCTTGTAGTTTTGATTTGCATTTCCTTGATGGTGAGTAATGTTGAGCATCTTTTCATGTGTCTCTTGACCATCTGTATGTCTTCTTTGAAGAAATGCTTGTTCATGCCTTCTGCCCATTTTTAATTGGATTATTTGTGTTTTTGGTGTTGAGTTGTATCAGTTCTTTATATATTTTGGATACTAACCCTTCACTGGATGTGTCATTTGCAAGTATCTTCTCCCATTCCATAGGCTGTCTTTTAGTTTTGTTGACTGTTTCCTTCACTGTACAGAAGCTTTTTATTTTGATGTAGTCCCAATAAAACAACACATTTCTAAATAATCAATGGTTCATAAAAACAAATCTTGAGGGAAATTAGAAAATATCTGAACTCAATAAAAATGAAGATATATCAAAATCTACAGGGTAGATAAAGTAATGTTGAAGAGGAAATTTGCAGCATTAAATGCTTAAAAAGAAGAATGGTCTTGGGGCGCCTGGGTGGCTCAGTAGTTAAGCATCTGCCTTCAGCTCAGGTCATGATCCCGGGGTCCTGGGATTGAGCCCTGCATCAGGCTCCCTGCTCAGCGGGAAGCCTGCTTCTCCCTCTCCCCCACTTGTGTTCCCTCTCTCGCTGTGTCTCTGTCAAATAAATAAATAAAATCTTAAAAAAAAAAGAAGAATGGTCTCATAATAATCTGAACTTCTACCTTAAGAATGTAGAAAAAAGAGAACTAAACCTAAAGCAAGTAGAAGGAAGGAAATAATAAAAAGACATCAATGAGATTACCTAAATAGTCCTACATCTATTAAATTGAATCCATAGTTAAGTCTTCAGAAAAAGAAATCCCCAGGCTCAAATGGTTCCACTGGAGAATTCTATCAAACATTTAAAGAAAAAAAGTATCGTGACCATGTAGAGGAGCTGCGGATTCCCAAACAGAACTCAAAGCACAGATAAAAGGGGAAAGAGAATGGCTGTTACGTGGCCACCAAACAGCAAATATGTACTTAACAGCGCAAACTACTTAACTACGAATAGTAAACTAGCTGTACGGGGCCATGCAGATTGGGGAAATGAAAGAGTCAAACCCACAGCCATCATAATTGAAAATCAATAGAGAATGTCTGAAATGTATGGATCAATAAAGAGCAGTTTAAATATTATTTAGAAATATGGAAGTAGCTAGTAGGGAAAAAAACAGTTGCAAGTGTTATAAAGACTTACAAATCGTTACCTCCGGGGAGCTGGGCTGGGGGATAGAGTGGGATAGGGCAGTGCATTATGGTTTTACATGAGAAGTTCTTTGTATTATTTGACTTTAAAACTGTAACTTTGTTTTAAAAAAATAAATAAAGAAAGAAAGAAAGAAAAAAAGTATCAATTATCTACACAATCTTTTTCAGAAAATAGAAAAAGGGGGGGCGCCTGGGTGGCGCAGTCGGTCAAGCATCCGACTCTTGGTTTCGGCTCAGGTCATGATCTCAGGGTAGTGAGATCAAGCCCCACATCAGGCTCAAGAGGTGAGCACAGAGCCTCCTTAAGATTCTCTCTCTCTCTCTCCTTCTGCCCCTCCCCCACCAAATTAAAAAAAAAAAAGGAGGAACACTTTCCAGCTAATTTAACAAGACCAGCATCACCATGATACCAAGACCAGACAAATATAAGAAAACTACAGATCAACATCCCTCATGAATATAGACATAAAACCCCATAAAATATTACCAACTCAAAGCAACATATAAAAAGAATAATATACCTGAACAAGTGGGGTCTATCACCCCACCCAATCAAGGCTAGTTCAATATCCAAAAGCAATTGTTATAATCTCCCATATGACTAGTCCAAAGCAGAAACACCATAGGATCATATCAATTGGTGTAGGAAATGCATTTCACAAAATTCAAAATCCATTCATGATAAAAATGATCAGTAAAACTAGGAACAGAAGGGAATTTCCTCAGCCTGATAAAGGACATCTGCAAAAAACTTCACACTGACATCATATACTTAACAGTGAAAAACTACGTCCCCCCACCACCCCAAAAAGAGGAACTGGGCACAAGACAAGGATGCCCACTATTATCACTCCTATTCAACACTGTACTGGAAGTCTCAACCAGTAAAATAAAGCAAGACAAGAAAAAAAAGGCAAACAGATTGGAAAGGAAGAAATAAAACTGTCCCTATTCACAGATGACATGTCTACACAGAAATTCCCAAGGACTCTATAAAAAACTAAACTAAATTTAGCAAGGTCCAGTATATGAGGTCAACGCATAAAAATTAACTGCATTTCTATAAATTAACAATGAGCAAGTGGAAACTGAGATGAAACAAGCAAAGACAGACTTAGGCACAAATCTAACAGAACATGTTCAGGATCGATATGTTGAAAACTACAAAATGCTGAAGAAAGAAATCAATAAAGGACCTACGTAAATGGAAAGACCTACTACATTCACGGATTAGAGGATTCCATATAATATTATGCAGCCATCAAAAGGAATGAGATCTTGCCATTTGCAACGACGTGGATAGAACTGGAGGGTGTTATGCTGAGCGAAGTAAGTCAATCAGAGAAAGACATGTATCACATGACCTCACTGATACGAGGAATTCTTAATCTCAGGAAACAACCTGAGGGTTGCTGGAGTGGTGGGGGGTGGGAGGGATGGGGTGGCTGGGTGATAGACAGTGGGGAGGGTGTGTGCTATGGTGAGCGCTGTGAATTGTGCAAGACTGTTGAATCACAGATCTGTACCTCTGAAACAAATAATGCAACATATGTTAAGAAAAAAGAAAAAGAAGAAGATAGCAGGAGGGGAAGAATGAAGGGGAGTAAGTCAGAGGGGGAGACGAACCATGAGAGACGATGGACTCTGAAAAACAAACTGGGGGTTCTGGAGGGGAGGGGAGTGGGGGGATGGGTTAGCCTGGTGATGGGTATTAAAGAGGGCACGTTCTGCGTGGAGCACTGGGTGTTATGCACAAACAATGAATCATGGAACACTACATCAAAAACTAATGATGTAATGTATGGTGATTAACATAACAATAAAAAAAAAAAAAGAAAAAGAAGATTCCATATAGTACAAAATGTCACATCTCTCCAGTCTAGATTTACTATTACAGCTTGATTTAGTATTGTATTTGGATTTTTATTTAAAATGTTGTTGTTTCAGGGACACCTGGGGGGCTCAGTCGGTTGAGCATCTGCCTTTGGCTCAGGTCATGATCCCAGGGTCCTGGGATCTAGTCCTGCATCAGGCTCCCTGCTCAGCAAGGTGCCTGCCGCCCCTCTGCCTGTACTCTCGCTCTCTCTCTCTCTCCCCATCTCTCTTTCATTCTCTTTCTCTGGCAAATAAATAAAATCTTTTAAAAAAATGTTGTTGTTTCATATCCAATCTAATCCACAGATTTCATATACTTTCAATCAAAATCCCAACAGAACATTTTTGTAGATATGAACAAGCTAATCCTAACATCTGTATGGAAAGGAAGAGAGGATACTGAAAAGTGAAAGAGTCATCCCGGGAACAACTTGAGGAACAGCCCCAGGTCCAACATCTCCCAGCCACAGGCAAATGCCCTCTTCATTACCGCCCACATAATCGTCAGCAACGTAGCTGTGTTCATGCAGGATCTCCTCCATGCGGCTGAGAGTGATGGCTGCCAGGTGCCCAGGATACTTCAGCTGCAGGAGGCGCTGGAGGTAGCCAGCTGCTTGGCTTCCTCCCAGATTGATGCGTTTGCAGTTTTTAGCATCTAACCTACAATCAAGGAATGGAAAACAACACTGACACTTTGGCAACATGGAAGAAAGAACAGGGAACACTTCGTGGGGAGTTTGGGGGAAGGATAATAATTCAGATGAACAAAGAAGAAATGGACCTGGTGAGGGAAAGGAAAACTTTACAGATGAAGGGACTCTAAAGCTCCCTTGATTCAGCCTCTTACACTATGCAGGAAGTCCTAGTCCACACCCAGATCCATGGCATCTAACTTCCATCAAGAGTCTCAGAAGGAAACAAGGTTTGATGGGAAGATTGTGCGCTCTGAATTCAGACCCTTATGTCACTTGTTGTCAGGAATTTCTCAAACTGTGGTCCTTGTAGAATTAGCTGGGGGAAATGTTAAACATGCCAATTCTCAGGACTCATTTGCTTTGGGGTAGGCCTGGGAATACACATTTTAACAAGCTTCCCAGGTAAGTATAGCACAGGCTGGAGTCTGAGAACCCCTCCCCTAGACACTCCCCTTCTACTGATGCATACACATTAAGTACATACATACTGGCTTACTGTAATCTCCTAAAAGGACCAGGTCCCTTTTCACATGATGCGAAGGGGAAGAGAACCAGAATAACATTTTTCTTAATGTGAAAAATTAAGAGAAGCAGGGCACTAGGATCTTGCGGCATATTGAAATGTTACTGCTATATCACCCCTCACCAGCAGATGCCAGTACAGAACAGGACAGGCTCCACTGTGATCATTTCCTTTTTTTTTTTTTTTAGATTTTATTTATTTGACAGAGAGACACAGCGAGAGAGAGAGCAGGGAGAGAGAGAGAGAGAGAGAGAAAGAGAGAGGGAGAGAGAGGGAGGGAGGGAGGGAACACAAGCAGGGGGAGCAAGAGAGGGAGAAGCAGGCTTCCCGCGGAGCAGGGAGCCCGATGCTGGGCTTGATCCCAGGACCCCGAGATCATGACCCAAGCCGAAGGCAGACACTTAACGACTGAGCCACCCAGGCGCCCCTCACTGTGATCATTTCTTAGCTTTCAGGTAAAATACTTTTCTCTCAATATGCTATAAAAATAACAATGTTATTTTTAATTTCCACATATTCTGCTTACATAAAATAGAAAATTCCATATATCAGGAGTGTTTGGTAATGTGTAAAAGAAGTATTATCTTCAGAAATTTTTATGGAAACTTCAAGAGAAATGACCATTTTAGGTCTCAATTAATTCAGTAACATTTATTTTGACTTAAACATTCAGACTCTTCTATAGTTCACAAAATGCCATCACCATTATCTCATTTCATCCTCAGGGTAACCCCGAAAAAAATCAGTTTTTCCCAATTTTACAAGTTAAGAAGCTATGTGAAGAAGGCAAATAACCTCATCCTCAGCAGGGCTGCAAACCCAGGCATTCAACTCCAAAGCCAGGGTTCCACTCCTTACTTACACGCCCTCTTTATGCAGTAAGAAACCTCAGGAGAGCACGATGTTGGCCTAGTCTCTTCTCAGACAATAAAAGTCCAACTATAACATGAAAACACGTTTAGGGGTGCCTGGGTGGCTCAGTCGATTAAGCATCTGCTTTCAGCTTGGGTCATGATCCAAGGGTCCTGGAATCGAGCCCCAAGTCGGGCTCCCTGCTCAGTGGGGAGGCTGCTTCTCCCTCCCCCACTCCCCCTGCTTGTGTTCTCTATCAAATAAATAAAATCTTAAAAAAAAAAACAGGTTTAAAAATGACAGAAACTACCCTCACCTTTTATCCAACTTGGAAATGTACCTATATTATGTGCCAGGCACTGTACCCGAAAAAAAAAAAGGTCTAAACAATCATGATTAATAAAAAGGTGACTCCAGAACACAAAGACCGTTTAAATTACTCAAATAATTTATTCAAAACATTTTTATGAAGCACCTACTACCTGTAGGTACTATGTTAGCTATCTTGCCATAAATCAAAACAGTAAAGTTCTAGAATTATTGATCTGGACCTCAAAGACCATCTACCGCAACTCCCACCAGGAGGTCACAAAGGATGGAAGGTGAATTGACTTAACTGAAGTCACATAGTGAAGTATGTCAGCGCCAAGCCCAGAGGCCAGTTCATAGTTCAATACTTGTTCTTTCCACTTCACCTTTCAAGTGGGCACCCAATAAATGTTTCCCGAATGCTTCTCAAAACAGCACTCAAATGCTGTCAGTGCTACTCACCTCCCTTCTAAGATGGGTAAAATATGTGTACACTGGTATCCAGAGGAAATGATGAGCCCACTGGAAATCAAGTTCTTTGGCTTATTGTGGTAGAAGCTGAAAAGGCTGTCTATTCCATAGGCAACCTTAGGAATCCCATAGCACTCAAAAAGAAGCTCAGACATCATTTGCCGAGAATACAGTGGGTTGCACACAGCTTCTGTCAAAACTATGGGATGATCAACACAGCCCTACTTTGAAAGAAAAGGGAGAACAGATGAGTAAGAAAAGAATACTCTTTTTAAAGCATAAAAGAAACCAAAGTCCTACTGTAAAGACTGAATTTGCTTTTGGTCTTCAATCAAAAACCTGACCGGAAGCAACTGTAAAACATTCATCTCATCCTTACTAGAGGTTGTTTTAGAAAATATGAAAGTAGGGTCAATTTAAGGTTATTAAGTCAAGCCCCATCCAAACTGCCAGCAAATCATGTTGGCTCTATCTTCAATTTACCTCCAGAATCCGACTGCTTCTACCACATACCCCTCCCCTGACCTCCTTCACCTAAGGCACCACCACCTCTCAATTTGGATTATTCCAACAGCCTCCTTACTGGTCTCCTGGTTCTACCCTATGACCCATGCCAATCCATTCTTCATACAGCAGCTATAGTGATCCTTTCGGAACAGAAGTCATGTCCCTGCTCCACTCAACACCCTGCAATGGCTTCTCATTTCACTCAAGTAAAAGCCAAATGTGATTTGCTCCCTCATCACCTCTCTGACTTCCACCTCCACTGACTACTCTCCTCTTACTCTGGCTGCCCTCAGTTAGGATTAGGGCACACCCCTGCTCAGGACCTTTTCACTGCCTGTTCCTCTGGAATACTATTTGCTCAGACATTCACATGGCTTATTCCCTCAATCATCTCCTTCAATCCTTGCTAGAACATCACCTTCTTCCTGAGTCTTACCTTGACCATCTGAAAAAACGTAATCCTCTCCTCTCCTCCTACCACGCCTTGGAATCTACTACTTAATTCTATTGTTTATTGTCTGCCTTTTCATTCTAGGTCCATAGCACAGGAAATTTTGTGTTACATTCATGGATGTATTCCAAACGCCTAGAAAAGTGCCTGACACAGAGGAGGTGCTCAATACAGATTAGTTAATAAATGAATTTGATAACAAACGAGCACCTATGCCGAATGTACGCTGCAAGAGAGAAGGAGCGTTGTTTTGTTCACTCCTGTACTCCAAGAGCCTAGCCCAGGGCTTACACACGTTGGGCACTTAAGATTTACTCGACTGACTAAATGACAAGGAGAACTACTGTAGTGACTACGTCCTCTCGGCGAGCAGAGTGCGGGGAGCTGCGACCTCACCCCTTCCCTCAAGCCCAACCCATCTCCCCCTGCCTCACCTGTGAGGAGACACCCAGGTGCTGGAAGCTGTAGTCCAGCAGCAGCTCCTGCAGCTCCAGGTTGACCGGTACGTTGCGGTCGAAGGGTGAGCGCAGCATCCAGCGCAGCGGCTCCAGGCTGCCCAGCGCGTTTCCCACCTGCGGGCCCGCCCCGCCCCGAGCCCCGCCACGCCCGCGGGCGCACACTGCGCGGAACTGCAGGCGCGGTTCGGGGCCTGGGTCCGGCCCGGGGCATGCCCAGCCGGCGCGGGCCTGGAACGACCCGTTGTCCAGCACGAGTGGCACCGGCAGTGGCCCGTGTGCCCCCGGGCCGGCCTCCAGCACTGGGTCTGGCGCGGCCCGGGCATCGCGGAACGGGTAGACATTCGCCACCGGCCCACCGGCACCGATCGCCGCCATCTTGGAGCGCGTACGCTGTGCCCGCCCCTCGCCGCAGCGTCCGCCCAGACGGCGCTAACCCCGCCCCTCGCCGCAGCGCCCGCCCAGAGGGCGCCAATCCCTGCCCCCCACCGTAGCACCCGCACCGTCGGCAGGAGACTCCGCCCCGTGCGTGACGAGAGCCCCCCCCCCGGCCAAGCCTCCTCCCCTCGCTACGCCTGGCCACCCTTTTCGCTTGACTCGCCCCTAGCGACCCAGGCCTTTTTGAGATCACTAGGCCCCGCCCATGCTAGCCTCGAAGTCCTGCCTTTGCTTAACCTCGCCCCACCATCCGATCTGGCCACGCCCCTTCGCCCTAGCCGGGATGTCGGCCAGTAAGCCCCGCCCCTGTATCGTAACACCATCAGGCTCCGCCCCCTCCCGGCCTCCAGAACGGGGCGCGAAACTACGCCGGGCCCGCCTTTTCGCCTGGCCACACCCCGTTTTTTGGGTAGCTCGCCTTCAACCGCCCTTGGCTCCTCCTTCACAGGGTTTTGACGCCCTTACCCGGGCAGTCAGGGAAATTCAAACTCTGGGCTATTGACAGCGATCAATTTCTTGACCAGAGATCTTGCTACGCACTTTCACTTTGTGAAAATTCATCAAACTGTCCACTTAGGATTTGTGCACTTGCCTGTGTGTAATATTTTGTAATACAATAAAGAGTGTCTTAATACATTTATTATTAAATAATTAAATTATTATTTATTTATTAACTCCCACAGACTACGCCCTCTCACTGAGACCTCAAAGACTGAGAAAAGGACTAATTGATCCTCAATATGTATATTCTCTCTTCCTTTTAGTGGTATAACTCCCACGCAAGGTCATCTAGTATGAGTATATGACTAAATTCTGGCCAATGGGGGTAGGAGCGGAGATAATGTGACACCCGTCCCTCCCAGTTTTAGCTCTAAAAGGATTAGGCAAGCTCTCCCCTACCCGATTTCCCCCAGCTAGGGGGATACAAAGGTTTAGGGCAGCTGCACTCTACACTTCCAGTTCTGGAACACATAAATTTGAGAGAAAAAAGCAAGTTAATTATAAATGATAGCTCTGAATAAACACTTTTAGCAAGAGATAAGACCATAAGCCTTTCTCAAAATTTCTGTGAACACCTCTAGGCCAGATTGAGAACCAGCCTAGTGGCAAAATCAGATTAAGTGTGTTGCCTTCCAACACAAACCCATTGTCTCAGATATGTGAAAGTACCCATCCTTGAGCTGAGAAAGCAGGAATAAGCAGAACACAGAGAACAGTAAATATAAATGAACGTAAGTAAGTTTAAGAACTACATCTATGTATGCTAACATGGACAAATCTTCAAGATTTATTTTTATTTTTTATTTATTTATTTTTTAAAAACTCTTTTTTTCCTAAAGATTTTATTTATTTATTTGACAGAGAGAGACACACAGTGAGAGAGGGAACACAAGCAGAGGGAGTGGGAGAGGGAGAAGCAGGCTTCCTGCCGAGCAGGGAGCCTGATGTGGGGCTCGATCCCAGGACCCTGGGACCATGACCTGAGTTGAAGGCAGACGCTTAACGACTGAGCCACCCAGGTGCCCCTCAAGATTTGTTTTTAAAAGGAATAAGTGAAGGCAGTACAGTGTATAGTGAACTCCTTTTACGAAAGAGAGGGAACAAATACATATAGTTTTGCTTGTATTTTCATACAGATAGAGAGGAAACTTATATGAGTTTACTTGTAAAGGGAGGAGTCAAGGTGGGAGGATCAGGTGTGGGAAACTTTTTCACTGCATATTTTAAAACATTTTTAGCTGTGTGAATCTATTACTTTTCCAGGAAAAAAAAAAGCATTATGTATAAGTAAGGTAGACTGGATTCTTGATACCAGTTCTTCACTCCCATACAATAATAGGATTATAATCCATACCATCTGCCACATAACTTTGTAGGGCCTCTCACTACAGACGTTGATACTGGGCTTGGCCATGTGGCTTGCATTTAGCCAAGGATAACCAAATGTGATCTGAGCAAAGACTTAAAATGTGTTTTGTGGTTTAGACTGCCCTCTTGCACTCCTGCTGTTAATAAGAAGAACATGCCCTGAGTCTAAAGAGGATGGAAGACCCCTGGAGCAGACAAGAACACAGACTGCAGCCTGGAGCCAAGTCCAGCTGACCTTCAACCTAAAGTTGACCTGCCCTGTGGACCCATGAACAACAACAACAAGAAAAATGTTTGTCCTTATAATCTGCTGAAATTCTGGGTTGCCATGCAGCATTATTGCAGGAGAACATTGACAGCTACACTAGACCAATGCTGTCCAATAGTACTTTCTGCCATGATGGAAATGTCCTATAGTCTGCAATGTCTAATGCCTGAGCCACATGTGAGTAGTGCAACTGAGGAGCTGATTTTTTTCTTTTACTTGATTTTAACTTACATTTACATTTAAATAACCATATGTAGCTAGTGGTTACTCTGTCGCACAACATAGCACGAGTCAAATCTATGGTTGTGATTATTTGCCCATGGAAATGACTAGAAGAAAATAGAAGAAGCCTACTGTATTAGTTTCCTAGGGCTGGCATGACAAAGTACCACTAGCTAGAATGGCTGAAAACAACAGAATTTTATTCTCTCATAGTTCCGGATGCCAGAAGTCCCAAATCAAGGTGTTGGCAGAGCCATGCTCTCTCTGGAGACTCTAGGGGAGAATTTGTTCCATGCCTTTATCTTATATTTTGGTGTTGCTTATACACACATCTCTCCCCTCTCTGCCTCCACTGTCACGTGGCATTTTTCCTGTATGTGTATCTCTTTTCCTCTTTTTATAAGGACACCAGTCATATTGGATTAAGGTCCCGTCCCACTTCAGTATGACCTTAACTAATTACATCTGTACACCCTGTTTCCATCCCACCCACAGAGTGTTGTTGGGAGCTGCTGGAAGTGTAAAGCTTCTCCCCCACCCGCCCACTTGCCTTGAGCTTGGCCCTCAGCACTCCTGGACCATCCGGCTGGGTGTTTCTGTCTAGAGGCCTCTCCTTTCCTGGTCCCTCCTGGCCCCCACAACTGGCAGAGATGGCACCCACAGCATCACTGTGGGATCAGTCACAGCCGGGCTCTCGAACAGACTCAATCCAAACCTCTAGGAAGTAGAGCTCATCTCCCAAGCCCCTATCTCACTGAGATTAGCATGAGGCAAGTGAAGCATTTGTTAGGAGAGCAAAATTTCAGAAGGTGCAAAAGAATTCCATAAGATATTTGATAAACTGTTTTCAAGGTCAAAATTCAAAACTGAACTATAATGTTCAAAATAACATGAACAAAATAATAAAATTTGAAATCAAGACCGGATCATTGCTGATACTTTCTTTTGCTTCAGACTCAGTATGGCTGAGTGTAGTGCTGCTACTGGTCTATACTCTGAATGTCACTGTTACTGATCCTGCATGCTTCAGCAATAAGGAAATACACTGATGTCTGCATCTTTGAAATGCATTTTTTTTAAAGGTGGATTGCTAGATGAATAGATGGATAGATATGGAATAGCTATTTCAGCATTGTAAAAATGTTAATTGTTCAGTCTAGGTGGTGGGTATGTGGGCTGTCAGTGTAGAATTTGTTTACCTTTTCTGTATGCTTGAAATTTTTCTTAAGGTTGAAAAGGAAAAAAATAAAAAACAGTGAGAAGGACACCCAAGGCTGGCTCTCTGAGGTCAAACCAGCTCCCTCTCCTGAATCCCTGGATGTCCAGGTCTGGGTTTTCCATCACACCCTCACTGGCAGTGAGGACTAAGCCCTGTAGCTGGTCTGCCGCCTCTTTGACTGAAGCCTCTCTCTGGCCCTTGACCTTGAGATCCTTCATCCCCACCAACAGAAAGTCAAGGATCCTCTGAACTTCTTGACTGGTCCTTATGAGCCTGTTTGGCTCCCTCCTTCCCTCCCAAGTTCCTAAGGCAGGAACAGATCAGTCCCTGGGGTAAGACATGTCATTTAATTCCACAACAGAGCATCTTTCTATATTTCAGGGGAAAACGATCAAAATCCCATTTTGAAATGTGGAGGACCTGAAAATTAAGCACTAAACAGTGATTATCAACTGGGTGGGGCGTGGGGGGGGAATGGCAGGAAGGGAAGAAGCATTTAGAAATCTGGGGTCTGCAGGAAAGAGTTTATCCAAATTCTAAAAGTGGAGAGCCTTCTTTGAGGGCTGGCAGCTTGCGTTCTCACTGCTGGGGGACGAGACAGGGCTGTCTCGGGAACAGGTGGCAGCGACTCCTGGGTTCCAGTGGGGGGCGGGGCAAGGGTCTTGGTTCCAGGCCAGGGCCCCAAGGCATTGAGCCAGGTACACCGACCCACGGCTGCCTACCGTGGACGCCGGAAGGGACCGCTTATCAGGAAACATGCTAAGACCTGCTGGGTACAGATGGGCACCCTGGGGGGGGGGTGCAGTGGTGGATTCCCCCACCCCTTCCTCAGTTCGACCCCCAGTGAAGAAGATTCATTAGGCCAGGCCTAACACCTCCCTCAGACTCAGACAGTGCCCTCGCTGTGGACCCGAAGCACGACTGGAGTGCTTCCTTTCAACTTATATCCATGCACATTGGTGTGTTGGGGGCAGGGGCGTGGAGATGGGTCCCAGCTACCTGCTCCCTATTTCTCCCGGCAGCCTGAATATGAGTCTGAAATGGATGTCCTACCTATGAGGGTGCGCCTAGAAGGCTGGCTCTCCTGCCCCATCACCCTCAGGATCCGTCCGGGGTGACCAGGGCTCCTGCAAGCTGAGCACAAAGCCCGGAGCAGGACTCAGGGGAGCGGATCTAGACAAGTCCGCGGAGGTGGCAGCCACTGCGTCCAGACCTGCCTGCTGTCTCATTTGTCCTTCTAAAGATGGGAAGGATGGAGCTGGTGCACGTGATGCCCCCACTTTGCCTTCCACTGCAGCAGTCCGGGCTCTTTCTGAAGACTACAAACTGCCCTGAGACTCAGAGCACATCCCAGGGTCGGTG